AAAGTATAAGGTCTATTCGTGCGTGACGACTTATATTTCTCCTATCAATTGTAATAATAATTGTAATAATAATACGTTATTAAATAGAACTAAAGGTAAAACACGTGATTAATTTGTAGTATACACAAGCGAAAGCTCAGAGACACGTGTGATCTAAAACACACGTTATCATGGTGGTAAACACGGTGGGTAAATCACTAACCAGTCTAACCAACGATTGTCCGAGTGCTGCAATGCTGAACATCCGTTGTTTCGCAGCCAAGAACGACGACACGCGCGCGTGCATTATCGCTGAACATAATTTTAATAAAATGATGATCTCGCACACGTTGACCTCTCACGCAGGTTTGCCGCGATATCACGATAACGGAAATTTTCCTCTCTTTTTCTCTAAATTGACTACAAATTGATAATAATTAGGATGGATTTGTCTTTTGTATGAAGTAATCACGTATTTTTGTATAAAAATAAATTTTTATCAAAAGCTTTGAGATATATATCCATTCATCTAAAATATCCATTTTCCTTAAAATGAATCAATGAGCTAATCGATTCTATTCTATTACAATTAGCTCAATTCAACATTTATGGTTCAATATACGTTCTTATAGTATCATATTTAACGTATATACTCTTGAAAACATTCTATTAAATCTTTCGGACCAATTTTTTTTGTATTAAAACTTTACGAAAGATTGTCTCCATTCGAGCGATAGGTGAAATCGCTTGCCTGTCAAAGACAAAGATGAATTGGAACGTTCCTCACGGCGATTAATTTCATCTGGTTGTCGGAGCAATTAACGCGTCATATATCAGCTGTATCGGAACGACTGCAACGAAAGTTTCAATCGCTTGTTTACTTTATTAATTTTTTTTTTCTAAATTGTCGCTTCCTAGCAACAGTCACAAATGATAGATCGATATTGCGCCTCGCTTGGATATGCAATCGAATGAATTATTCCTTCTCGTTCAAATAAAGCGAAGAGCTCTGCACCGGCCATAAATAAAATTATTCCGCGATTCCTTTACGCGGTATCCGCATGCGTCATTTACAAACTTTTTCTCGCATAGATCGCAAACTATAGAAATCAGACGTAGAATACTTTTTTTCAATTATTCATTCCTTATCGTTGTTATATGCGCAGCAGAATGCATAATTGAAATTAACATAATTGATACTCTTTTAATTGCACGTCTGAAAAATAAAATACATCACATTTCCGTTAAAATAGTTTCTATTTGTGAGCGAAAAAGTATGCTTTTTAAATATTTACTCTCTTTCAAAGACTTAATCCGCGAACACATTCCATTATTTCTTACATTAAATCTTCATCATTTTTTGCTCGTACCATACGAAAATTTTATAAAATATTTATTAAGAATATATTTCCACAAATTTTTCACATATTTTATCCTATCAAGATTTTACGGTAGCAGAGCGAACAGAAAAAAAAGAGAGAGAGGCAGTTCCATATATATGTCGCATAAAAATATTTCTTACAAGCCGAATCTCAGGGAGAGTGGATTTCGGAGCGGCGGAATCTCGGCGTGTGGAGCACGTAACAAAAGGCGCCAATAGTTTCCGATAGCCAATGTAAATAGAACTCCCCCGAAAAACGCCGCGTGCGCGGCTAATGCAAGGAGTGTGTTAGCAGCTCCGGGCCCGATTTATCGGTGATATCGACAAGCCGTCGGTAGCCTTACCTCGGCGATAATAGGGACCGAGGTAACGCGGTACATATCGACGGTACCTCGCCGTCGCCGTCGCCGTCGCCGCCGCGACGCGACGGATTTAGGCGCGTCGATAAATAACGCCGCCAGGTGCGCGAGCACGCCGAAAAGCTCGCTCGTTCGCGCGAATGAGTCTTCCACGTCGGCGGCCACGGGCCGTAAATTAAGGTCAGAGCCAAGAGCGATATAAGCGGCAAACCGCGAGAGAGAGAGAGAGAGAGAGAGAGAGTGAGAGAGTGAGAGAGAGAGAGAAGAGTAGAAGGGGGAGATGCGAATAGATATGCAAATCACGTACACGCTCGGCTGTTTACGTCTGTCTGTCTGCTGTCAAAGCAACATGCCGCCGATATAACGTGAATCCTTCGGCAGAGCGCGAGGCTCGGTTCGTAGATGAACTTCGATCTCGTATAAGCTTCAATAAAAAGCTTTTACTTTCCGTTCCTTAATCCGAATTAATCCAATCAAGTGATGTACAGTATCGAAAGATATGGCAAGACTATCGTTTGGTAATTAGAAAAAAAAAATAGTTAAATGAAACGAACAGAAATCTGTCGATCGACAGATAACACCATTCGTAATATATTATGCAACTCGCGTTCAATAATACCGCAGTTAAGAGGGGCTAATTCGAGGGTACGCAACGTTAGAAAAAAAATCGTTAAATGAAACAAACAGAAATCTATCGATCGACAGATAACACCATTCGTAATATATTATGGAGCTCGCGTTCAATAATACCGCAGTTAAGAGGGGCTAACTCGAGGGTACGCAACGTTAAAAAACCCCGAAGATGACGTGTTGATAAATGTTTCAGGATGAAAAGTCGCGTAGGAATTAAGTTTATCAAGATGAAAGGCAGGAGGAAATTAGGACACTCCGCGTAAATGGAAGATAATTTGTTTACCAATTCGTTGAAAATGAAACAATAACTCCTTCATTATTTTAACCTCATCATTTTGAACGTTAATTTATTTACTTCGAATACTTGCAAGAAAAGGAAATAATATGTTTATAAGCTGATATCATTAATCGCGACTTTTACATACTTTTACTAACCTAACACGTACTACACTCTTACGTGATTGAACATTATTTCCTTTTAGTCAAGATCTATTATAATCCTACGTAAGACGGGCAAAACAATCTACGAGGAGGATAATGTAGTCTCGAGCATACGTATATGCATGTATTATATGCTTTGCAGTAATGTGCTTTAAATGCGATTACATTGCAGTTTCCCTTTAACACTTGCATGGAAACCGGTCTGCACGTGAAACTTTAATTCGCGCGTCGGGCTCTTTAATTCTGTATCTCCCGATTAAAAGCATCCTATACCCCGGGATCGGGGATATAATGCCAGGGTTTTTCTCACGCTTCTAATATGCAGCGATAAATCGAGAGATAAGAGGAGCGTTCCCTTTTAATCGACGGTTTAACAATAATGGCGAATGTAACGCAAGTAACGACTATAATCGCGACGATGACACTAATTCTCCGAAGCTAGATAACAACGTCGTAACGGAGCGATAACAATCAACCGCGACGGTAATGACAATGATGACGATAATTAGACGGTGGCGATGAAATAATATCAAATAACGATCACGTTAACAACGTCTGCGGGATTCTTTCGCCGTGCGCACCCCGCAAGCATCTTGACGTAATGATCGCGAGCGACACGACGATGACGACAACGTCATCGACGACGAATGGGAATCCGGCCCGGAGGGTAACCGCGCGTATATAACGCGGTCATACGCTCCAAAATGATACACGCTCGCACACGCCTCCCGGGGCACCTTATCGAACTTTCCCTTTAACCTGTGCAAACCGGCCTCGCGATCTTCTTCAAAACAGTCGCTGCTCCGAGAGCTCCGCTCGTTGCCCGGCAAAGTGAGTTTCGGAGCAGGACGTTCCCAGGTCGAGAAGAAGCTTGCTCCCACTTGAAAAGTGAGAAAGATAGCTGCACTCACGTATATGCGAAAAAGCACGCGGCGCGATATCGCGCGGGTGCAGACAGGTCGCGACTCCGCGTAAAAAACAGAAACGACGACGACGACGACGACGACGAGCCGGCGTAAGGCGACGCTGCCTCCCCGGTGCTCTCTTCGCCTGGCCGAATTGGAGGTTAACCTGTCACTCGATAGCGGATCGATTTTACGGCGCGCGGAAGGGAGGGAGGGAGAACGGGAGGCGGAGGCGGACCGCCGTTTCCGCGCCGCGCGCGCGTTTCGACCGCGCGCAGACGATATTATGTAATTTCTGGCACTCACCTGGTTCGCAGAGCCGTGCGGACGTGCCGCGGGTGACTGGTGGTGGCGGCTCCCGATGCGGACGTCCCGTCCGTCCGTCCGTCCGTCCGTCCGTTGAAAAACGGAGATAGCGGAGGAGGAGAAACGGTGTGATTACGGTGAGAGAAAGAGAGAGAGAGAGAGAACGTGCGGGAGAAGCGGCGAGGTCACATACACACGTATACACACACGCCGTATGTACACGGCAGCCGCCAATGCGATTCTATGCGATTCGGCGACGGCGGCGACGGCTGGACACTCCACGTTCCGCGAGATAAGAAAGAGAAAGAGAAAAACGAGAAAGAGAGAGGAGAGAGAGAGAGAGAAAGAGAGAGAAAGGGAGGAAAAACGTCAAACTTTATCACGAGAGCAGCATGACTCGCGGCGGGGCTGCAGGCAGCAACGTGCAACGACAGGTGAGAACGACGGGGACGACGGCGACGGCGACGACGACGACAACGACAACGACAACGGGTACACACGCGCGGCACCACCGACACCGACACACGATGACGTCATACCACCGGCGGCAACATGGAGCCCGCCGACGTACGCGCGAACGACGCGCGACACGAACACCACGGCGCGAATTTACTGCACGACCGCGAACAGTAGTTGATCGCTCGCTACTAGCCGGAGAGCCGTGCCCGTGCGCCGCTTAACCTCGAAAACGCTAGGCGCCGGAGCAACCGTGTGTGTGTGTGTGCGTGCGTGCGTGCGAGAGAGAGCGCGCGAGAGAAAACGTTTACAGTGCCAGCCGCGGCAGCGGACGCACCCCGTGCGCAGCGGCAGCAGCGAGACACGGACCCGAACTGAAACGAAGTCCCGGCCGAGCTGCGCCGAGTCGGCCCGAACGCGCCCGCGAGCGTCGCGCGCAGCCGCTCGCTGCCATTGGTCGGATCGCCCACCCCCTCGGCAACGTTCGGCCGTTCCCGTGACGTCAGCGGCGGGCGGCGGCGGAAGCCGAGGGTCATTCCGGCAGCGCGTACGACGCGATGCGGATGTGGTTCGTGCGACGATCGATCGCGCGGTATCGCCTGCAATTCTAACCTCTTCGCAGGCGCGCGGCGAATTATCGACCGAAAGTTTCGTTTGATCGCTCTCGTACGTAGAGACAGCCTCTCGATCGCGACGCGGCGAATACGAGTTCGAACAGACGCATTTTTTGGACGATCGCTCGACCGTTGGCCAACTTCATTCACCTCGAGTGAGTCGATTCGCAGGTGAACCTTTTCTCCCGGTATCACCCCGACCGTTCGTATACTGAATATTCGGCGACGCTGTCGTCGACGCTAGGAAAGATCAGCTATAGCCGCTTACACAATTAAACGTATACGGAAGTGATAAGCGAGAATTAAATTATGGCGAATGACGGAGTAATTTCGATGCACTTTGAACGCAGATCGGAGTACGCATATTCCAAGGCCATCGCGCGTATTTTTCATTCTTGCGTAATCGAGTTTTATTAAGTAACTATTATCAAAACGAAACCATCTTCAATATTCAACATTAATTAAATATTTTCAAGTTATGTTAAAATTCACACGATATTTAAAAAATAATTTAAAAAATGATGTCTCATAAGTTTTGTTTGATAAAAATCGAAATTCGGTCGAAAAATGTCTCAAATGTTCTATACATATTTGAAAAGGAATATGTTTTTCGTAGTGTATTCATTAATTCAAGAAGCGTCGTTCTTTTATGTCGCATTACATTATCGCGTAAAAACAAAATTCTTTTCAGAGTCCCTGCGGCCGATCGAGATGACGCCGTCGCCTTACGTCTCGCGAATAAATCAGATCGACGCCGCTCAGTTGGACGCGGAGATCTACAAGGTGCTGAGGAATCAGACCAGAGAGATCGCTAGGCACGGCGGGCCCGGCGGGATCGACAAATGGCAAGCGGAAGTGGACGTCGTCCTGAAATTTCTCATCTGGAGGTTTTCGTTGCAACGAGGCTCCTCCACGTTCGGCCAGCGGCTTCTCAATCTGCGCTACGTCAACATCAGTCGGAGGAAAGCCGTGCTCTACTTGATTCTAAGCGTCGTGCCTCAGTACCTGAGAGACAGATTGGCCAACGAGAATCTGTCCGAGCGTGGCGCGATCGGCCGCGCGCTAAGGTCGCTCGTCGACTGGACGACGAGCGCGATCAATCTCCTGGAGCTCGTCAATCTGCTCTTCTTCCTCCATCGAGGCGTGCAGCCGCGCGTGATAGAGTTTCTGCTCGGTCTCTCCAGTCAGTCGATAACGACGCACCGACCCAGAATCATCGGTTACTCGTACATGACGAGAGAACTGCTCTGGCACGGTCTGATGGAGCTCTTCACGATCGGCATACCCATGATAAACTTCCACTATCTGAAGCACGCGCTGAGGAGGCTGCTGCGACGCGCGGATCCGTCGAGCGGACTGTTCCCGGTGATGAACGCCGCGACCAAGTGCGCCTACTGCTCCGAGGACCCGATTCTGCCGTCGCACGCCGGCTGCGAGCACTTGTTCTGCTACTACTGCCTGCAGGCGCACTTCACCGCGATGAGGATGTTCCAGTGTCCCGCTTGCGACGCGGAGCTCTGTGTCGAAAATATGAGAAGGTATACGGTCGCGAGTGCACCTCGGAGCGACGACGAGGAGTCCGATGATAGCTTCGAGAAAGTGGACGATGGATAACGCGAACGTATGTATATTTCTAGCTCTATTAAAAAGTTAAAGACTGACTCGATGCTCGAAGTGATGTGGTTGTGACGAGTTACGATGCCTGAATTTTCAGTCTATATAAACTGAACACTATCTTTACAAGTGAACATGATTTTATTATGTGTGTGATAACGTGTGCAATTCCGCAATTCAATGCAACGTGATCGAAGTGACCAAATGAAAAAATAGTAGATTTGTCGCAAAACGCGGCGAGTAAAATAAAAACGCTATAAAAAAAGTATAAAAACAATTTTTAATATATTCTTTAATTATATCGGAGTTAATTAAATCCCCTAGAAACAAATAATTTTATTTATTATACTGGAATTAATTAAATCTCCCAAAAACAAACTATAAATGGAAAAATTCGCTTCCGATCGCCGCAATCAATCTGTCGTATTAAGACATAACGAAGGGTTGTATTGCGTGTGATATTATTTTGTTTTTATTAAAAATAGCAATATACAAAATGTTATTTATTTTTCATTTCAATACAACAAATCCCGATTTCGGGTGATATTCTCGTTTTTCTTTTTTTCCGAAACAAACAATAGTAGATCAATATACTCTCTTGGCTCTTATATCAAAATTAGATTAGATTATATCATATAAAAATATTATGCTGCGCTGTATATTATAAAACGCTTCATCTGCCGCCGCGCAGGTCGATGGACCGATTTTACATGCAATAATGACACATTCATCGATTTAATTTATCATTCAGTTGCTGCACCTGCGCTCGACGGGCGGGCACGTCCCCGGATTTATTACACGAAAAACATTATACACTAGACTCTAGAGCACAAAAAGAAAAAAAACGTGAAACACATACACATAAATTAACGTTTTCCATCTATCTTTCCTATGACATGCAAAGAAGAATGTTGCGAAAAGGTCTGTCTTCGTTCGGAAAAAGTAAGGCATCATTTCTCTTACAGTTTCTGAGATAAGAAATATCTGTGATTACATGACATAATTTTAACTAGCACCATTTCGGATTTCTCGCCTTAAAAACTATAAGAAATGACGCTTTTCCCGAGCACAGCAAAAAAAACAAATTTTTTCGTAACTCCCTTCATTCATTTGAATCCGAAATCTCATCTTTCCTTGGAATGTATGATTTATAGTACAATTGTATAGCGCAGTTTCTTTCATCGTTTTGTGAGAAATCCCTTCTCAAAAGGACCGGGCCGTTATCAACTTCCTGAGGTATCCGCGTTTACATTTGCGCTCCGCTCTAACATTAAATCTTATTAATCGCGAACGAAAACGGAGTTCGCCCGAAAAATAATAAGACGCATGGGAAGAACGACGCATTTAAATTAAACGCAATTCTTTTTTTTTTTTGGTTCTCTTCTTTTCTACATTTCATTTGCATTTCGCCTTATTCGAATATAAATACATAGCCAAATATATGGCCGTTATTATAATTGTGTATGTATCGCGCACTACATCCTTCTTCAAATAAATTCAAATTTCGAACTTAGAAAGTTTGTACATTGTTTCCTTTCGAGGGCGAACTCCTATTTTCCGCATTCTTTACTTTAGCGACGATCCTAAAGTATCCTAAGAGCGTCCCTTCTCTACCGAGGAGTTTACGATTTTACGGTCGGTCTCGCTAAGAAAGACACAATTTCCTGATATTTCGAGTGCGAAAGAGAGAACACAATAGTGCGAGGCATTTATACTTATCGATACGTGAAAATGGTTTGCGCATAACGCCATAAAGCTGCTGAATTAAAGCGACGCCACGTCTCGGACGGGATCGGTATATTTCCCGAATCGCTAGCGTTTCACAATTTTTCGAGCGTGTCGTTCACAGACAAAATAAGGTATGCACTATGTAAAATTAAAAGATTTGATGCCTATTCTCTTATCTTTTTAAAGACTCGAGTAAATTAATAAAGTTGAGGAAATTCGGTATTACAATTAGTTGGAGTAAAATTAAATTAAATTCCAAACGAATTGAATTAATTGACTTAATTCCAATCATTTGAGATATACATTGGAATTAAATCAGGTTTAAGTTAGTGAACATTGAATTAATTAGAAGTTCCCACAACTTTGAGGTTAATTTTCTGAAACTTTAAAAGATGAATTAGATCGCTAAACTCTCTCTGATCGAAGAATATCTTCGAATTTTATAAGTAATCGCAAATCTACATTAAGACGAAGAAAAATCGTTGCGCAACGATACGGCCTGTGGACTTTAAATCTTCCCGAGATTCTCAGAGGTCTTTACTTTTTTTTTTTTCAAATTTATATATCATTTTTCATGGAAAAACCAAGAAAGTCACTGAAGATATTGAAGGCTAAATGGATCAACTCATAATTTGCATGAGATTATCAAATAGAGTTTATTTGAAGTCAATCCTACAAATTATAAGCTTAATCCATTTGAATTCTGAACGATTCGTACAAATCGTATTAAACTATCTAAAACTGAATGAGTTAGGTAGGAAAGAACGAGTCCACAGTTGCTATAATGAAACAATATTAATGGTTCGTAATATTTTCTCTGTCCCGTTTTTTGGCGCAAAGATACAGTGAGAATGTATGCTTGCGATACGCAATTTCGAAGATTTACAACGCATTCCCGTAAACGCAACGGAATCCAAGTCGCGTAAATTTCGCGAACGAGATCGAGCGCAATTGATTACACGCATTATGCCCGATTTCAGGCTAAATCTTATCTTCGCTTTTTTTTCTTTTTCTTTTGTTTCGACAGAGGAGGAGAGGGAAGTTATGTCATGTTATTTGCTGTATGCAAAAAATGTCAAGTGAGTAGAGACTAGAGAAAAGTGGTAGTGAAAAAGAAAACTGGTTTTACAGTTTGAAAGTGTGATCTTCCCTCTTCCCGACGTAAATCGATTCTCGTTAACCGAAACGCTCGAGATCGCTACCTAGAAACTCTTTGTCTTGTTCGTCGTCGTCGTCGTTCTTCTCCTCGCACGCGCATTTCCCTCTCTTTTTAAAGGCTAAATTTCCGCGACTATACCTATATATTTACCCGTATAACTCTAAACCTTGCACGGGATCGGTGCATATTCACGTAGGAACATTGACAGATTTCTTCTCAGGACTAGGCAAAGAAACCGTCGATTTATTGATCGGCAAAGGGACGATCTCGCCGTTATATACAAGGTATTGTCATCTCGAATTCTATTGCGCATATTTTCGAAAGATATTTCCTCGAAATCGGAAGGCTTTCCTTTTGTGTAAGGAACAAAGTACCAACGACTTTTGAACGAATGCCTTTTTTTTGGACGCGAGGATGCTGCTTCGTTGATTCACGATTATGCGTACGTGTACATTTTATCCGCAGCGACAATGGATATATTACACATGATATTCGTTCAGTCATGCACTCCTCATGCACTTACATTTATATTTTTCTTCGGCGATTATCGTTACGAAACCCTTTACCGATCCGTACTCCTTTTGTAGATAACGATCATCGCTCATAAGGGGCAAAAGAATGTTTTTTTGTCCCTGTATCAGAACACGGCATAATTGCAGATGCAATTGGATAAAGGTGATATGCAGCATTTAGACAACATAAAAATTTAAAGAATCTTGTAGAAATTATTCAAAGAGGTCTTAATTTTTTCAAATGGAAAAAATTTTATCGTATCCTTAAAGTCTTTCTAAGTGTCTTTTAAACTTTTCTGAAATTTAAGATCGTATTAATTGTCGTTAACAATGAGATTTAACGAATGAAATTCTTTAAAAATTATGCCATCACTGATATAATAACGAGTATATTGATGCCATCGTAGCAAAATACAGCATTTTACAATATAATTTCTAACGAAGTGTTTCCGAATTTTATTGCTAAAAATTTTAGATTTTTTCCTGCTAAAGTAATTAACTACACAAGAGACTTCTACAGACATTGAAAGATAAAGTTCGTTAGTTATTCTCTTAAACAGTAAAATTGTCAAAATCTATAGATTTGTAGATTATCACTTTGTATATTATTTTATATAGTTAACTAGGTTTCGCGGCATATCATCTTCATCTATTTGCTCTTGCAATTATTATCGTAGCCCATGTGACGAGCCGGATTGCACGATCGCTCCGGAGAATCTTGGGAGCTTTCTGTTTTTTAGGTCATCGTTACTCTATCACCATTGAGCAAAAAAAAAGAAAACGGACAATAGAACCAGACAGTCCAATATTATATCACACGTATTTGCGAAATACATATTCTTATTCTCATTTAACTTCTTCCTCTTTAATGTTCCGATTCTATCTCGCGAGCGCACAAATAATTTACGCTTAAAAAGATTTCGCAAAAGACTTAGTCAAGAACTCTTCGCAGTAAAATCTTTCGTTAGGCATGTTCGATCAGCTCGATCGCGCGATTCGATCTTCTTTTTTTTTTGTTTCCACTCTTTACGCAGGAATCTGACACGATTCTTGAGAATGTCGATCGTGGATCTATGTTTGCACGATTCAATGATTTCACGAGAGAACCGATTTTCTTTCCTCTGCAAAACAAGTAATAATCGTATTCTTCGTTCAATTTTAACTCGATATGTATAAGACGTTACATTGACATCTGAATAGTAATGCGCGCGTGAATCAAGAACTAATTTACCTAACGCTTTCATTCCTTTGTTCCAAAAACAAATTAACAAAAATTACGCTTAAAAATTCGAATAAATTATTATCGAGAACGAGATATATCTTATGTCTATAAAACAATCGTTTTGCGAAATCGACTGCAACCAATGGAGCTCTCGGCATGCGACAATCGGAAGGATCTAAACTTGGCAATGTATCGTTTTTAAATGCATAGATTCATAGATATAAATCATAGTTGCATATTTCGTCCAAATTATCAATCGTATTCTTAATGTCATAAGTAAATCTTGGAAAAAGAATTATATTAAATTTTAAGATAACAGTTTTTTGCATATCTGAATATCATCTTATGAACTCATGAATTTTTTATATATAATTCTTTTACATACATTATATACCTATATATAGTTTTTATATAATACAATTTCAAATTCATTTTTTTTTACTCTGCCAAGTTTAGAGTTAATTTAATAAGGCTTCCTATAATTAACGCGATGATCGTCGTCGCAAATATTGTACTTTGGTAATGATACTCAATTCAACTGGCTCCTCGAAAAGTATCGGTGGCGCGGAGAGTGACAAATGGAATACATTTGTGCTGTAGAATTCGTTTTACACCGTTCTGTCTTCAACACATGCTTTACACGAAAAGTTCTTGCGGTCTATTGTTTGACGTGCGTCCAGCGTCTTTCGCGAAATAATTAATAAATACTTTGCAACTTATACTTATTTTGTAAAACTCGAGATCGCAACCTCACGCGTGATCTACCGTGACTGCATGTGGTTGTCGCGCGATGTCGAATCACAGATTAGCATCGATCGCTTATTCCGGCGGTTTCAATCGAGAATTACAGCTTCGCGGTCGACCCGTGGTTGCATTCGAGCTTAGTCTGAATTAAATATATGTGAATTTTTGCTAGGACGAAAGGCCGCTGAACACACGGGACATCCCTCGCCCATCGCATTTTATTCTAAATTTCTAATAACTGCTGCAACTCCTTTTTGATTTTTTTTTTTAAGATTTTCTCGAAACATTTGCCCGATATTTCATGCACGCACACGCACATTCATTCATACATACTGATCACCCGGTCATCAAGCGAACCAACGAACGAGACACGCGCGTCGACGTTTCGCAAAAGTTTCAAATATAATTCGATTAAATATGATTCTTTTTTTTGCCACGCAACTAACGCGCTTTGTTTTGTAAGTGTTAATTGAATCGCAGACTCGATCAGATTGCTAATATTCATGCTAGAAAAATTTATCAGCAAATACGAAACGATAACGACGCGGATGTCCGTGGATAACATGATTGCAAAAATAATAACGACTATCCTAAATCCTAAGGCACTTCTGGCCGCGCGCCGAGAACAGCGAAAAAAAAAATGAGAAAAAAAAATAATACAGCCAGTTCTCGATCAAAATAAGAATTTTTTTTCCTGATACTTAAGTAATTTCAAATCAACAACATGTGAGCTATTTGGCCATTCGTATCGCGTCTGTCGAGTTCTCACGGGCCGAATAGCCAGATAAGCCCTTTTGGATATCCCGTAAATTCGCGTTTGTTCCGTCCGAACGACCGATATAACGGTGTAATGGTCCCCGCAATTATGCACGCGATCAGCATTATTAAGTACGTATGTATATATCTGTTTCCGTAATTTCGATCGGTGTGCAACGGTTCCCTGAGATCGGCTTTTGACAGCGCTGACACGCCGCCACTGCGTTCGGAACGGGTAACATGCGACCATTTTTCTTTTACCATTTGGTGTCCAAATTGCATTTGCCCATCGACGATGTAGACGCCGACGAGGAGGAAGCCGCCTTCCGTTCAGCACCGGGTGCAGCGCTGCCAGAGAACGGACTAGTCTGTTTGTTCATTTCTGAAAGAGAAACAAATTAACGAGATTAGCAGTGGATATGATATATAGAAATAATATATATAATGTACAGAAAGAAGGTAGGATAAATCTAGTTCTCGGGAGCAAAAAATAGCCTTGTCTGTTTTTTTCTCGATACCTAGATAATTTTAAATCACATGCAAAGTGCTCGGTTAGTCAGATATGTCACAGAGATTTCGAGAAAGAAAAAGTTTTATAGAGAAATACTGAATATTTTTTGCCTATTTCTATAATGGCAATAGTAGTCCCATAGCAGTGACAGTAGTGGTTGACAAAATGCAAAGATCAGCTTCCTCAAAATCTTTGTTTTTGCTGTTTATATTATGAAAAAATCCATTTAATTAGGCAGCTCGAAATTCGTTAAGCCGCCCATGCGTGCAAAGTTTTACGTACCAGATATTAATAGCATTATTTTGCGCCTCGCACCCCATGCGGTAATTCCAATTTCGCAAAGGTCCTTCTCTGTCAGGGAAGGAAACGTGGCCATGTCCACCTCGTGAGATGTGAACAGGCCTAGGCGAATGAAAAGAAAGAAAAGCGGTGCTGTGTTTCAATTTTTTCAAGCAAAAGCATAAAATAAAATAAAAGCAAAGCAATGGCACTCAATAGAATGGCGTGCAATTACTAGACGTAGATTTGTAATTCGATCATACTCACGTATATACTTATCCAAGCCGATGCTAGTCAACATGCTGCTCAGATCGTTGAAACGATGGGACGACGTAATTTTGTTCAAATGGGAGGTCGGCGTATGGTCCATATAATTTGAGGCCATCCCGATCTGTCCCACGCGGTCTTTGCTCGAGATAATACTACCGAAATCCATCTCGGTTCTGAATACCGGCGTGGTTGGTTCATTCCACAAGTCTGAAGGATGCGCTAGCTCCTGCGTCCAAAAAATTTCGGCGTCAATGTCTCAATATCCTTAATAATTATTCTTAATTCTAGCTAAGAAATTACAGATTTTATTAGATAACTATCGTCAGTTACCTACTCATTTCAAATATTTCAAGAAAATTACATATATTTTTTTTGAATAATCTAAAACCGCAAACATCAATATGAATCTTTGGTAGATTTTATTCTTCTAAATTTCGGAGATATCGCGATTTGATTATTTTTTATATGTCGAAGAAATTCGATAATTACCTTGCTTAAGTCACTCGTAGTTATGGGCGGAATACTTTGGCTGAGACCGTAACCGGACCAAGCAGACGTTGGCACGCGGAAATCGTTGCCTGATTTATTCTGCATAGCCTTTGTGGCCAGCAACTTTTTCTGCTCGTAGTCGAAGGGCGTGAAATTCTGCTGCGCAGCTATCTCGAGTGATTTCTTCTCGCAACCAGGTGCACGTCGATCGGTGACCGGTAAATCCGACAACATGCTCGATAGATCCGCTGAGAGGAAAAAGGAATGTTTATTTAACTTGTAAATAGTAGATAATAATCGATTAATAATTGTATAGATCGTTGGCTTCTCGAAACGTTAGACTTACCTAAGTTAGTATTAGCGTCCGTAGGATTGACTGGTGAAATATTACGAGGACTAATGGCGGGACTAGATAAAGAGCTAGAAACGCTGCTCAGCGAAGAATAAGCTGCAAATAAATTCGTTACATAAAAATCAAATTTGATGCATCTTGTAATATGGTCTCAAATAAAAATAATATAACAACGAAAATAATATAAAAGATCTAAAATACTAATAATAATAACTAATTAAAGTAAACACATATTAATGACTGCCAATCTTACAATTTTTTTATTAAAAATTTTTTTCTATTTTGGTATCTTTTAATTTATTTTTATATAGTAAAATATTTTCAAATTCAAGTTTAAACTATTGAAATGGGATATTTTTATAAATATATATGCGCAACTTTCTCACATCTTTTAAAATCTAGATTAAATAATGCTACGCGTATTTAAGATTTTCTGTTTTATAAAAGTTTTATATTTTTGTCGTGAAAATAGTAGAAAAAATGTGGTAATTAAAGAATTAAATGAGTAATTAAATTCGTAAGAAAAATGAAAACATAGAAATTCGCGTAGAATAAATCGGGGGACTACTCACCACTGCTACCGTCTTTAGTATCCATCATCGAATTAGCGTTCAAACCGTGGAGACCGGAAAAGTTGGTCGGTACGTTGTTATGGTGAAACGCTCCGATACCGGGAGGCAACACATGGTTCGATAATCCATGGGGCCCATGAGAAGTTCCCATCATGTTGTTGTGCAGCATGTGTTGTGTCGTCAGCAGGTGATTCAAATGAGAGTAGGGATACGGACACATCGACGGAATATAATGATGAGCGAGGCTCCAGTGTGACGATAGTCCCAGAGAATTCGGCGAGTGTGAAATCGGCGACACGCAGTACGGCGAATTTTGCGTGTTCACATTTAACATGCTCGAGAAGTTTTCTTGTACGCCGCTGATCAGATTATTAGTGGGACCTAATTGAATATTAAAAATTTGTATTAATATTGAAACAGAATATAAAATAATAATTTAAAAAAAACGTGCACACATAATAAAAGAAAGAAACATATAGTGGAACTAATTATTTCGTCTTTTCTAAAATTCTTCTTTAATTAATTCGAAATTATTAATTCGAAAATACATGTCGAAATAAAAATTCGATTTTACTAAATTACAAAAATTGCATTAAAATCGAAAGATTTACTTGAAAGAAGTTAATGAATTTATTGAAGGAATCGCAGAGAAATCTGTGTCGTGCGATATGGTTCGATTGCCACATCTATCTATTCAACGATATCGCATTTCTTTCCGATTACGAGCGATTCGACGAACAACACTCACTATCGTTATTGGAATTGCTTTGGAAAACATTGCCAGCATTCGGAATGTGATAAGTGACTGGTATATCGGCGACAACTGTGGGCTCGTCCAGCCCCAGCAACTGCTTCCGCGCCTTGTAAATATTACTGGCCTTCCTCTCGATTCCCTTGATAATCACGGAAAGCGTACTCTGCTTCGGCTTGTGACGAACGTTGATAAACACGTCCAAAGATTGCATGAGCTGGGAGATCTTTTCGGTATCCACGCAAGCGGTCATAGAGTCTTCCGGCAGATCGAACATAAGTACCAGTGGTAACGAGCCCTAAACACGCAATTATCGTCACGTTAATATCACATAGAGCACAGCTATTATTAATAAAATTTACAGAAAATCAAATTGTGGCAAGGAAACACGTAACATATGTACAGTTATTTCACAATCAAGCGTAAAGTAGAAATATTTTGACACTTTAAGTCCTGATTATTTTATATATTATATAATCGTAATATATGTTTAGAAGGAGAAGAGATAAAATTTTAGATTAATAGAGAGCCGTATGTATAAACATATCAACTTACCACTAATTGCTGTCTGGCCAAGTAAACATTGTTTATGTCGCCAGTAATAGTGACGTTACTCTTTTTGAGACTGGGTATATTCGGATCGCCGGCATCGGGAAACATAATTTGTGTGGCGGTACGCTGCATTATCATCTTCAGATTGCTACTCTGTTTCCCTAACACGATACTATGGTGTTGGGGTGAGATCTCCATCGACATTTGTACTTGGATTTGACTCTGTGACAAGAAATATGCAAAAGATATTGATTTCAGAATAAAGAACAGGACTTTATAAAAGCAAAAGTACAATTTTTCACATCGACTCTTCGATAAAAAAATAAGAAAGCGACAAATCAATGCGATATATATGGATATTTTTTAATGTCAAGCTAGGAAACATTAAAGAAAAATTTACTGCAGTGATCGAATGAAACTATTTTTATAAGCCGAAAAAAATTCCAGATTTAATTTTCAAAAGTTTAAGATTCATTTTTTTCAAGTTGTTGACTAAACAAGTCAGTTGATCTCTCGATTATTCTTGCTACTCACAGCTAGATTTTTGCACATATAACGAATCAGCAGATACGTCGCTTCTTTGACTTGGGCAACCTCCCACTCGCATCCCTTGACAACCACCAGGGTGGCGTGCAGCTTCGGTCTTGTGCGAAACATCACCTGTACGTTGTACTTCTCTTGTATCTTCACCACGTGCGGCGAGGTGCAGTCTGGCATGCTCTGCGAGGCGCCCATTATAGGCAGCTCGAAGGAAAAGATCAGAGGCGTCAGATTCTAAAAAAGACATGGGACGTAAGTCGATGTTCCTCGAACGTCATTTCGTTTTTGAGATTGGTGATACATGAGGCGCGAATTAAAAACGAACGAATAGCGAATGCAAATTTTTGCTAATGAAAATTCGAGGGAGACACTTTTATTACCATACAAACAGAACATTCGTTAACGTTCGCTGTTCGTTCATTGTCCGTTCCTGACCCACTTTTAAATAGGATCTCCCGAAAGTCGCCTATTACAATACTTTTTTTACCCTCGACCAGAAATTTTTATTTCATCGCATAACACACACTATTTAACACAATAAAAATTAACAATAAAAATTCTTGGTACCCAAGCTTAAAATAGAAATTCTCAATTAACGCGACGTTCAATTAATTGAGAAATAAGAAGTTTTGTCTTGTCTCGAAATGTAATAACGTCCTGCAATTGTAGCATGAAATCTTCGATATCGCATCGAATACAAATACTGTGGATATCCGAGAGAAGTCATGTTGTTTTTATCGAATGCTAGTTCAATCGCTGGTATCCGGTATTCACATAGAGTGAATACCAAGCGTTAAAATTATACGTCTTCTGAGATATCCTTGACACGCGTTTAATACGAGAAATCTTACCCTAACACGAGCACGGGCGCGTTCGACGTTCTCCATCTCGCCAGCGATGGAGACCTGATTGCTCTTGTCTTGATGATTGCTACGATTGCTGTCTGGGAAATGGATGTGACAGCCAGTTTCCTCCATCACTCGTTTAATCGTCAGGCCGCCCTTGCCGATGATGTGCGAATGGTCGGTGTAACTAACGTCCAACTTCATGGTCACTCTATTGCTTTGCTGAAAATCAAGTTGTATTCGAATTGATATACCATACTTGCAATCTTTATCGCCGATTAATACAATTAGTTTCGATTATTTTGATCAATTTCTAAACATCCTTGATTCCGTTACTGCGAGAAATTAGACATTTGCTACTTATATTAGATAAACGCAGTCTGTTATCTCGATAAAATTAAGATTAATAATAATTAGAAAATGAAAATCTCTTTTATCAAACGTCTCTAATTATATATATAATTATCAAAAATTAAAAAATTTAATTCGGAATCTGGTATTATCAGTTGAAATGTAGAAAATTAAAATAACATCAATGATTATCTCTGTTGAAATTATCGCTGAAGATAATCTAGATAAGACTCGCTTTGATAAAAATTGAAGTTTTATTGATATTATTAAGAATTCATAAGAAACCAGAACGTTCCTACCAAATTATTAGCAGGTACTTGGATAAAATGTTTATGTACATAAAAGAGTCATTCCGTATCACTATACCAAGAAATCAGCTACCGAGAGAAAGTGCGAATCTTCCGCTGATAACATCTCCTACGTATTTATTCATTCGGCTTATTTACGTTCGCATTACATTCCGCGCGAATGTAATCTCTCTTCTCCGGCAATTTACATTCGTTACACTCTGTATTTCTACCAACTTCGAGATCGTCGATTTTACGTGCGTGAGTTCCTCGGACCATATCGCCGACCCGCCGCGGAACGACTCGTGCGCGCAACTTTAGATATCGTGTGGCTGAATGTTACATAAAGTCACGCGATAACGTCGCGCGATCCGCCGTCGTGCGACTTCAGGAACTCCTTCCTGAACCGTACAACGATTCGTCGTCGTCGTATCGCCTCACTCGCGACCGAAGCCGAGCGACCAAAATCTCAAACGCTTTGTAATGCTGTGACACTTGCGAACGTAAAAAGATATTTGTAAGACTTGAACTAGACAAACTCTTCGCGGTAAGAAAAATAAGACGGTGTGAATAAATCCGACGAAAATTTGTAGTTCTTATACTTGATTAAATTCTACTGTACAAAATTCAGACAATATCATAATTTACACACACAACAGGTCACATACGAATATAAGGATGTTTCACATAGGTGTTAAACGAATTCGCAAGCATATGTAAATGATAAAAAAAGAAAGAACCACAATGTTCCTACCATCTTATTTCGCCAATTATTTAGATATTCAGCATGATTTCGAGAACGTAACCAGACAGATGCGACTGCGATTTCGAAAGTCAGGACGTCGACATCCTGGGCGTTGGCGTCGAAAAGATATTGAATATCCACGCACGTGTCCGACGTGAGCTCTATAAATATCATTGCGCTATTTACGCGCCATTCGCGATCCGTAATTAACGCTATATATACAAGTGTCGCTGTCGCGCCACTTTTGCATGCTTGACGCAAAGCATGACGTCTATTTTAAAATGTCCGTGCACTTGTCGCGATTGCAATTGCGAGAGTAGATCACGCAAATCGCACGAGGAAGTGGAGGAGGAAGGACGGCGCGAATTCCCGTGCCCGAGCGCAGAATTTTATCCACGTTCGCTCTCTCGGCGAAGGTACATACGTGTTCCTTTCACACGTCCTTCCTCACCCCGCTTCTGCCTCCGTGTATTCGCGCACTGTCTCTGGAACGCGCGCACGTCGGAATGTACATTCGACAAAGTAACAGGAATCGATCGGTACGCCCGGTATGGCTGGCATAAAACGACAAGTCCGGTTCGCCTGCCGTCTCGTGATTTAACGGTAACGGGACTGGCCGACGACATTTCGCCGCGACGATGCGACTTTTTTCGAACTAGGGGATGTTCGATGATACGAGAATACGCGAACGAGAGATTCGGTGTAACATTCATCCAAATTGCTTTTCTAATAACGTCAGAAAGTAATAAATTTTAAAATCACGGAAATGAAATTTGACCAAAAATTTGACCTAGTTTTCAAATATTAATACACGGAAAGAACAATTTTGCTGAATCCAGATCTGAAAATAATTTTTGTTCAATAATCAAAATAATTGCTAGAATATCAAAACATTGTTTTATAGCAATGCTTATCAGTTTTAATATTCCAATAAATTATTTTGATGATTCAATAAAAAATTATTTTCAGATCTGTATTTAGCAAAATGTTTAGATCTTTCAACAAAACCGTGATAGAAATAAAATTTTCCAGACGATTTAATCTCAAGTTTAATTTAATTTAATTTAAATTTCCTTCTCTTCAAGATTTGTTTCCTCAGTTTTTAAGAAAGCGAGTGCGCTAATCGTCTGATCAATCGAATAATCAAGATATTCAATATTCAAGAGATTCGAGATATTCTCATTGCTTTGCGACATCTCTCTCTCTCTCTCTCTCTCTCTCTCTCTCTCTTTCCTTCTGCATAGCACTTCGACTTCTAAACGTGCCGATTCGCTTTGTCGCCTGAGAGTTCGTGATCGCAAACAGCGGCGTATAAATATAGAACACGTTTTTTCCGCGTCTTTCGCCTCCTTTCTTCACGGCCTATTTTCCTCGACTTTTTTTGCTTGCAACACGCATCTAATAATTAAGTAGAAACATGCACAAAGTCGGAGAAAAGATGCAAGTCGAAGGAGTCAGTCTGAAAGTCTAACGATGATCAAACGCCGTCGAATTAAACATTGACAGTGTCGCTGATGCTTTCATTCACAATCAAATAAATTTAAATTTAATTTAATATTTATTATAATATTTAAAAAATATTTCCTGACCGTGTAGTGAAAAAATATACTTGGCGGGTGACGCTACCGCGTCTCCTGATTAATATTTATTTATTATTTACCGTACTATTTACACGTTGAAAGCGAAACTTTCGAAAGTGTATATGATAAAAAAAATTTATCTGTTCTTTATCATCTTGACCTACACTTTGTTTTGATACATAGTTACGACTACATCCTTATAAGTGTGACTGTGTGTAAATTATGCAATATTTAACATATGATAACTGATAGCATCTCCGATTCGATATAAATTCAATGCCGTTATTAATTTTTATCGCAGATGACGTGACACTTGAAAAAAAAAGGGACATATGGTCGTTCTCCCATGTCGCAATCGAAATCGGTAATCGCCCATGCCGCACTTACTGATAACTGATACTAATAGGCACACGTCCTTGCATTCGCTGGTGCACGAGTCATACTTCGTGCAATCGTCGTTTCCTTTATTGCAAGACGATTGGCAATTGCGCCAACTACGATATAACATTGCACCGTAAGTAGGAAAAGACCTCTAGAATCGTTCGATATTTGCAGTTTAAATATTCGATAAATTCCCGTTACGCGCTGACACACTTCTTCGTGGGAATTTTGCTTGCCGACAAAATTCGATTGTCCCCCCCCTCCTCACTCGTAAAAAAAGAGCATTAATTGCTCACCATATTTGCATTCTCGATTAGCGATATATAGCTTACCAGTTTCTTTCGAAGTTTATCGCGTTCCTTTCAATCCTATTTATTTACAACTTATATTCTTAAATACCAAACAGTTTCATCAGATTATTTCCCGTTTCTTACCATAATCTCACAGCATTGTGAAATGATCTTTAACGCAAATTGGATCTTATCAATATACCGGGTGGGAATATATATGTAATATGTATATATGACTTACTCGTGTGTCCAGAATTTCCATTATCTTCTCCTTCGCCAAGCGTACATTATCTGGTCGTCCCGCGACTTTTATATGCGGATCTGCAAAAAAAAAAGGCAGAAAATTGAATTACGGTGACCATCGTGCGTGGGAGTAATAAGGGAACACGAAAGGCGGCGCGAGTCACGCCTTTATTATACCGGGCAATCAATTATAATTGACCCCGTTAATTACACGTTACACGACTAAACTTCGTACACTGCTCGGGAAAATAAGCGATTAATCCGAAATAACAGCTTCCGTCTTCACAAACAAACTGCATCTCTCAGGAAATACGGACGGAGTCTTCCTAAAACAATATATTTTTGAAATATTTTCCAAGTGTATCTTCCGCCCGTATTTTTTCGGATTGACTATAATGTAGCGAGGACCTCAGGCAAATTGGGTTACATCGGAAACTACCGAAAAGAATTTCGCCGACGACGCTTTCGTCGATATACCGAGTTTGACCGACACCGAACATGTGTCCACCGGCGTAAACATCCATCGATGTCGTTTGTGTACCGTCAGAAATTTTCGGTTTGTTACGATTTGAAAGCAAAATATCCGCAAAACTGGATGAAATTGTTCCCTTACAAAGGTCGACGAACTCACCGCGTGACGCAGACGTACGTTAACCAAAGACATCGCCAGTCTATAGCGAAGGGACAGTTACACCGAAGTTCAGTGAAAATATTGGATATGCATTATAGACGATACGCAAAACGTCGATGTGCGTGGGACGAATATATGTCGCTGTATACATACTCGATCAATCTTGATGTCAACGAAATAGCGTTGTCAGGAAGATTATTGGCAGAGGGTTTGTTCTATGATTTTAATGTGATCCTCGAGAGAAATTACGCGGGGCCCGGAAGACGGAAAGACGCCGCTGGCGATTGCGGAAAACCCGATGTCAATCGATAGCTACTTTGAAGTCAATCTTAGTATTCGCAAAGCGCAACGCTTGCTTTTTCCTGAACGCGAGACCTTCGACTGCACAACAGTGTTTCAAAGTCGAGTGCGATGACGCGTCATTGACGCTGCATAATAATCGCACGTGCACGTTAGGCTAGTCGATCCTTATCACGCATGTGAACAAGACTCAATAATTCATTTACTTGATTATTAAGAATTAGGAATCATTAAATATAAATAGATGAATACGCGCAAAATAGGAAACTATGATTCATTGATACGTTTAAAAATGACTACTTGTAAAATGTGAATTGTAATAAAAGGAATCGATATTTCCTCGATGAAAATTTCATTGGTGACCTGGTTATATAATTTTTTTTACTTTTCATTTTTCCTCTTTGAACATTAAAATGTTCCGACGCACAAATGGATAATGAGATCTTAATTTTAAATTAATCTCAAGTGGATTTGCTTCAACAGAAATTGGTTCGAATATTCGATTGTTGAAGTATCATCGTTGTTTTAGTGACATTTTCCATGCAGTAGAATTGAGAATCGTTTTGAGATTTTTGGCACTGTGCACTGAATCGAATTCTATTCCCGAACGAAAGAATCCTCTGCGTGAGGAAGGAAAAACACTTCACAGCTTTCGGAACTTTGCAATCAAAACAACGATATCATATCATCTGCGTCGTAAAATTCATGCTTCTTATCTCTCCCGCAGCAATTATGTAAGAGATACCGTGGAAAATAACGCTAAATAATAATGCGCTTTTAAAAATCGAAACCCGATCAAATTCTGTCACGATCATGAGCGCTTGGATCATGGCGCCTAGGAAATGCAGCATTAGTGCGATTATCTATCAGTCCTCGCGGGCACAATCCTGGATTATTTTTAGAATCGACGCGACGCGATGCGACGCGACGGTAGCACGCGGACTCTTCGAGTGTGCTTCGAGGCCTGACCTGACCTCTTTAGCCGCGCCGAGCATAGAAAGTAGATGAATCCTGTTTGCACAAAGCGATAAGGAGTGTCGGCTGCCGTTGCGGCAACGAGAGAGGGGCAGGTGCCGGAGGCTCGGCCGATTATCTAAATGATACAAGGTATTCCTTAATAAAATGTGTATATCGCTATACTTCGCGATAAATTCACGTACGAAGAGATCGCAAGGAAAACAATGATAACGAAATATACGAGGAATGAATCACGATAATAACGAAGCGTGGAAAAGCTATAACTCATTTGAGAAAAAATATTATATTTGTGTGTCTGGATACGTTGAAATTTAATAATTATCGTATTTTCAAATTATTTTTAATTATCAGTCTTTTGATAAATAATATTTAGTAAAGAAAGTGGCATTTCTAATAAAGGATAATTTTCACATTTGTCTTTTTATGCTATTGTTTTATATCTTTGCGTTCGTCTACTCTATTCCCAAGAGGAATCTATGCTCTGTAAAGCTAATGCTCTGTAATGAATTTAAGCAAAAGACTTTCTCGCAATCTTATGATAATCCTGAATTTCCTCGATCTCAGTCGGAAATAAAACCAGTTAGATAATTTGATGAAACAGCAACATTGCGAAGTCACGCGATATCTGGTTTTTGAATTTTATTCTTTACTTCGCAAACACGCATCGTTCAATATCTGTTGACTAAGTATAACCGTGATGCGACGAGCAAACAGAAAACTGGCAATTTATTGAGAAATAATTACAGCTCTAATTTTTCGAAATCTAAGCTTTTTATCTCTTTATCTATTTCATTCTTTATGTTGGACTTCTCCATGTAAAATTTAACAGATACAAAATTTACTCTATCATTTTGTTTAATAAAATTGTATTCGTTGTAATAAAAATTGTGTAAATATAGTTTATATAATTAAATTTATATAAAATTCATTTTTTTTATTGATTCCATCGTGATCGTGAAATATACATTTTTCGATTTTATTTCTATGTTTATTATATACTGCATAGATTTGCTGTATGTAAGATATGATTACTATCTAATCCAGGCACAAATATTATATGCTAAATAACAGTTATTAAAATTTTTCATCGTAGTTATAAACACACCCGTAAGAGAAAAAAAATATTATATGCTAAATAATAGTCATTAAAGTTTTTCATAGTGTAGTTATAGACGCCCGCAAGGAAAAAAAGCTATGTGTAGTCTTATCATTTGAAGAGTAGCATGTGGCTTACGTGACTCGCGGCACATCAACATCTTCGCGCAATGAAGAATTAGAGCGGCTGCCATGATACTGATTGACGCTTAATTCGATCACAGACAATTATCCGGTTAGTTAGGCTGGGCTAGAATCCCGCTGATATCGCTGCGCAAAATTCACAACGACGGCTTCGAGAGCAGGTCAAATCGCAAGGTGATATCCTATCGCGCGACACGGGGAAGATAACTCGATAATATCTATTAACCCTGAAGAGCGCATAATGTATGTCAATTTGATCCATTCGCTGCTTCAAATGCAAATTCCATTTCGAATAGTACATCTATGATTGGAGTACTTATTGCCAATGATGATTTTTTTATAAACTGCGAAGTCGCATATTGAAATATATATATATATCTCTATAAAAGTTTATAGAATATTTACTAAAGTTTTTTCAATTAAAGATCATTTGACCAATTTGTGAAATTACTCGTAAAGAATTTGATTGGACTTTCTTTCGATATTAAAATTAATCCAGTCATTAATCAAAATTTTATTATAATAAAATTCACAAGAAGGTGACAATTTAATAGGAGAATAGAATAATTATAAAGAAGAAAAATTTTTGTATATATTTACACGTGTTACACGATTCATAAAAATGTCATCACTTTTTGTTTAATTTATTTCGATATATGTAAATATTTAATTAATTTAATACCATATTGAAAAAAAATTTATTTCAAGTCAGCTAGAGCTGTCACATATAATATCAATCATTTTAGAGCATTCTATGTAGCTTACAAAAAGCAATTTATATAAACATAAATTAAGTATGACATATAGCTGATATGCATGAAACATCAAATTCAAGTAATATTCCGCAAGTGAATTTCTATAGTGAATTTATATTCTTACGACAGACTCTTGCGTTATCATTAGCTAGTCATTGGCGTTTCCATGATTACATACAAGAAATTATTAAAATGACTATAACGAAATTTGTGAATGACTCACAATAATCTGTATCATGCATCTGTATCGCATTTTTCTGGATGTGTACGAGATAATTCATACATTCTAATGATAATCTCGAGTCATAAAAAACAACAAAATACGTGAGTTTATTTATATCAGATTACATAGCTTACCACGGACGATCGGATTTGCAAAATAAAGAAAAAGAAAGCGAGAGAGAGAGAGAGAGAGAAGAGGCAGATGCAACAGCTGTTTAGGTCACGAGGAAGGGATGAATCACCGAAAAATTTCCACAAGGTCCGGTCGCATGAGGCGACGACGCCGCTTCGAGCCTTACGAGCGAGCACTGGATCGATCTACGCGACGTAATTTATTTATCGTGAAATAAGTGACGAAATAATCTCACAATCGACGTGAAAAACGATGTGAATGAATAATCAATTAAGACGCAAATCTATCGATCTATTATAGAATCCTTGAATTTTTATAGCGATATATATTTTTTATTTTTTTTGAAGTTCATATTTCAATATCTCTTGAATCATAGGTAGTTTTAGCGACTCGTTAAAAATTCATAGAATGTCAAATGAATATTTTTCATCGAGATGATATTACAAAGCATAAAAATAATCACTACTCTTTGTTTAACTATGCTCTTTATTAATTATGCTTATCTCATTATATCTATTGGAATTTTACAAGAAATCATGGAACGGAACTTTTACTAAAATTTTGGAACACTGAATCTATAATTTCAATTAAATCGAAAATTTATCTTAAAGTTTTCCTGTAAGTATTTGTGTCGGTCGAAAATTAATCCCAAGATTTCCACGAGACATGCAATTTTTTTTTCGTGCATATACCAACGATTCTACAGCGCCAGCGATGAAACTTTAAATAGCGATCGTAAAGCAACGTGCGCAAGACGTCAGCTGACGAAGAGGCATGACCGACCACTCACAGTTGACGCAATCTGCGAACAACGCGTATTCGCACGACTACGCATGAGTCCGAATGCGGGGAACGCGCGGGGAATCGTAAAAGATGATTTTTGCGTCTCCTAGCGAGTATAATCTTTCAAGGACGCGCGACACACCGAATCTGAATTCCGCGTCGCCCTCGAGCTGTCGATAGCTTCCGCTTGCGCGCCTATTAGTTATTCTTTGTTACGAGAAAAAAACACAGTTATTTCCTTGATTTGTACAATGTATACTTTTAGATTAATTTTCAAATGATCGACAAAAGAAAACGTCATTTCTCAAGAGATTTATTATTGCCTGTCTCTCCTCTCTTTCGCGCGATATTAATAATTTCAAAAATAATTCAGTTATTTTTAGACAATACCATTCACTTGGAATTTGTGTTGCACGTTACCTCGGGATCGAATGAAAAACAGGAATATCACCGTCTAATCACATTTTGTGCATGCGTTTGCATTCGTTAATGGATATTGTTTATGTCAGACGACGATGACGGTGCAATTGTGTTAAAGTAGATAAAAATGAATCATTTAGTTTAGAAAGAACGTTGCTCTCGCAACGTCTTTATTTGTCAGGAAACACAGATAAACTTTCGCTAATATTAATGAAGCTAAAAGGCATTCCATTATCATGCCGTGTCGCTATTGTAATGATACCAAGTTCAAATTACGTCTCCCTTGCACAAATTTACGTAGCCAGAAAAGATTTGATTTCGATTATTATATCGGTATAATACTTAAAATCTTAGATTCCTATATTCCTATAGAGTAATTTCTGATTCAGCTAGAATTCGCCTAGAATATTTATACATACAATACGACAGTACAAATGTCTATTTTCTACTGTCTATTGTTATCTGTTATTGACTACTTTTAGATAGAGTTATCTGATATTTACTACTACAAAACCATTTCTAAAGTAAGTAATTCAAATAACGCTTTTAAAATAATTAAGTCGATTGGCTTACCTTTCTTCGACTTTGCTCCGATCTTCAGTCTTGATGGCCACGTAACGATAGTGTTTGTTCTCTCCATAACCTACAACAATGTAAAATCGCTATCGTTATGCACCGTCAAATATAATTTTTTTCAGATACAAAAGTGCTATAAAATATCCCTAAGATTTTTGAAATATTTTCCATGTGTCGTTTTTTCTACATATAACTATTAACTATCGCATTATTTATTAATTATAAACCAAGCGATGTGATATCTTTAATACTTTTTTAGAATTGGAGATTCTTCATTTTCTGTATAATATTTATCCGATGATTAATGACTCATTGTTTAAGGCTTCTTATCAATTTTTCAGATTATCTTGGTTTCTCTCCACGTGACCTTCGCGAATATTTAATCTCCTCAACACGTAGCCTTTACTTATCAAAGTTATACATTGGTTGTTATTCATTTTTTGGGAACATTCATCCTTATCATCTCGAAATTTTTCAATTTGCTAGCTGTATTTTTTATATAATTTTCGAACATTTAATTTTTCGCACACACATGCATAGCATCCAATGTTAGATAAACATGTCTATCTTTAACTGTGCGTTTATCATGAAGAAATAATCATAAATATAATTTGCATTGCAAAGTAGAAAAATCATTAATGTATTCTTTAATTAATTAATTAATTTTTTAATTAATGGAATAGATTGAAAAATTTAGGATTTATGGAAACCTAAGTAGATTTATCAAGAAGTCTTAGATAATTAAAATTTCAGAAAATAATGGAATCATTTTTTTCTTAAAGAACTCTTTAATTGCAACCTCACAAACTACATATTACTTAATTAGTATTATATTTAATATTAGACTTTTAAAAAGATTGCAACA